TATATGTTCTGCTCTCAGTTCTCCAGCCAGGGGTGGTGGAGGTGTCACAGGGGAAGGAGTCTGTCCTGCTGCCCTTTAAAATCACAGCTGACCTTCCTCAGGAGGTGAGGGTGGAGTGGACACACAACTACATGAAGGTCCATGTGTATGAGAGTGGAAACAATCAGCCAGATAATCAGGACCAGGTTTACAAAGGTCGCACAGAGATGAACAATGACCCGCTGAAAACTAAAGACTTCAGTCTGACCCTGAAAGACCTCCACCTCACTAACAGTGGAGTTTACACCTGCACCGTCTACAACAAGGATGGAGACATCCTGCTACAGAAAGTAATAATTCTCAGTGTCAGAGGTGAGTGTAACAGCTGTTTGTTCAGAATAAATGAAAACTGGAGTGAAGAGCTGCTGGTTACACAGCAGAGGAGACGATGGGGGCTCACACTCACTCACTGACGTCTGTCTGTACATGTTCTGCTCTCAGCTCTCCAGCCAGAGGTGGTGGGCGTGACACAGGGCATGAAGTCTGTCCTGCTGCCCTTTAAAACCACACCCAACCTTCCTGAGTACATCACAGTGGAATGGAGACTCACTGCATACAAACACATGAAGGTCCACGCGTATGAGAGTGGAAGAGATCAACCAGACAATCTGGACCAGGACCAGGTTTACAGAGGTCGCACAGAGATGAAGGAAGACTCATTGAGAACTGGAGACTTCAGTCTGACCCTGAAAGACCTCCAACTCACTGACAGTGGAGTCTACACCTGCACCGTCTACAACAAGGATGGACTCATGCTGCTACAGAAATCAGTGACTCTCAGAGTCAGAGGTGAGTGTAACAGCTGTTTGTCCAATTACAAATCGTCCATGAATAAGATCCAATCAAACAGCCTGTGATGCATCACGGAGATGTTGCGTAGTGCACTCCAGAGTCCATACAAAGGTTTGGTGTTCACGAGTTTGATCCATGTAGTGCAGCAGAGAGACGGTGGCTCCTGCTGCCTGTCTTTGCTCTAATAAAAACCACAAACTCTTCATGGAGGTAAGATCAATGTCTTTTATCTGGATAACCACAGGGAGGAGTTTTCACTGCAAACACACATTCTTACAGCAAGTGTTAAAGAGCACACAACATCATATATAACACAACACAGTGAGTCTTCCACACACTGTGCACTGATGTGCTCTACGAACAATCTACAGTCCATTACAGAAAATATTTCGAGCAATTCCGAGATATTCTAATACAGGGGTGTCCAACTCCAGGCCTCAAGGGCCGGTGTGCTGCAGGTCTTAGATGTGTCCTTGATTCAACACAGCTAATTTAAATGGATAAATTACCTTCTCAACATGTCTTGAAGTTCTCCAGAAGCCTGGTAATGAACTAATCATTCGATTGAGGTGTGTTGATCCAGGCCTTGAGTTGCCCACCCCTGTTTTAATACAAAGAGTTGGTTTGTTCCATCATTGGTAGAATGATCTCTGAAAACATCTCAAACTTTGTGTGTAAAACAATGTCTGGAATGATACAGCACACCAACATCAAAGACAGAATCAGTATTTGGTTTGCAATTCAGACTCTATTAAAAAAACATGAATAATAACTTTTTTTCTACTGTGTGAAGATCTCTTCCTCAGTGGAGTGGAGACTCACTGAACCTGAAGGGAAGATGGTCCATGTGTATAAGAGTGGAAAATATCAGCCAGACAAACAAGACCAGGATTACAGAGAAAGTCTTTCACCTTACTGACAGTTTTATATGTCTGGCCCTCCGTCAGAAAATCTCCTGGCTCCAGGAAGTTCAGACCTTATCCTCTACAACGAGTCCTCTAGATGTAAATGATATTGTCTGTCTATCTATGTTCTTCTCTGTTTTCTCTTCAGAGTACCAGGTGGAGATGGTGGAGGTGACACAGGGGAAGGAGTCTGTCCTGCTGCCCTTTAAAGCTACAGCTGACCTTCCTCAGGACATCACCGTGAAGTGGAGACTCACTGAACCCAAACACATGATGGTCCATGCGTATGAGAGTGGAAGCAATCAGCCAGACAAACAGGACGAGGAATACAGAGGTCGCACAGAGACGAATGAAGATCCACTGAGAACTGGAGACCTCAGTCTGACCCTGAAAGACCTCCGCCTCACTGACAGTGGAGTCTACACCTGCACCATCTACAACAAGGATGGACTCATGCTGACACAGAAATCAGTGACTCTCAGTGTGAGAGGTGAGTGTAACAGCTGTTTGTCCAAGTTAAATGAAAACAGGAGTGAAGAGCTTTACCCCGGTTCTTTTTTTATTCCTCGGGCATCCAGAGACGGCACCGGACTCAGTAGTTATTTCACAAAACCTTTATTCATCTTTATTTAGGCCTGCATTCTTCTAGAAGGGAAGAGGTGCCAGGCCGGTGTCCCTCTGCAGATCTTCACTGCTTTGTCTGTGAAAGACAGCTTTATAGAAGTGACCCCATCATAAAACCCCCACGGTGTGCTGCAAACTCTGTGTCTGTATGTGTATGCACAAGCACGTGAGTGAGTGTATGCGCATACCTGTGCGTATGTGTGTGCACGTGAGTGAGTGTGCATGTAGGTGCATCATAACAGTCAAAGCACTATGTGTGTGTGTCTCTGTGCACGTGACTTCCTGCCGGTCATAAAAGTAATCTCCTCACCCAAGCTACACCAAATTCTTTTAGACAACATACAAAACAGAGTTAACAAACTGCAAACACTGAGACTCCCACTCTGCATCCACTGGGCCATTGGCCTCTTGTTGTCTTACATTTACAGATCAGGTGGAGAGTCTCCTGCAAACCTGCTTCTAAGTTATGGCAATTATGAGTTTTTATTAAAGGTACAAGCATCAGCAACCCCCCAACTGTAGCTTCCTGACTCTTTTTATGACACCAGACCATAAATTCCTTTCTCTCTACACAATTACACACGCTCTCAGGCTACAGCTAAGCCAAACTGAAACACAGAGACAAATCCTTTCCTATTCCTGTGATCTAAACAAATTTAACACATTACATTCTAATAATTATTTTCTTGTACTCACACCTGCTAATATGGGCTCAAATTGTGGTCATAATTATTTTGTACTAGTAAATCAGGATTTGTGTGTGTTAAACGAATTTGTGTGTGCATAAAAAAAGATTTGTGTGTACTTAGCCAAAAAATACATGTGAAAAACTGCCCTCAAGTTTCAAGTTACAACTATAAATTTTGACCCCATTTTTCTTCCTTTCATCTGATTGGTTAATGTCATGTCAATCACAAATGTAACAATCCAATCAGAGA